AGGTCATAGAATTTGTATTTTTAAATAGAATAAGCAATGGATGATTTCTAAATAGGTAAGTTTGAACCATTCTGGCATAAATCAGAGATGAGTGTTGGTCTTCTTCCTCTACTAAAGCAGACAGCAGTAGTTGATCATAATGCGGTCTTCTTGGCATCAAACAGGAAGAGGTGTAGAGACAATGGACTCTGCCTTGTTTTTATTCTAGCTAAAGTAATCCGAAGATGAAATAATTTTTCATCAAAACCTCTTTAATTTTTATCTCTTAACATGTATCCATTTTAAAGTGAGGTAAAGCCATATAAACTGATAAGAGTAAATCTAACAAAACATGTATGGGATCTGTATGTTGAAAACTACAAAATACTGATGAAATAAACCAAAGAAGAGTAAAATAAATGGAGAGACATGCCTTGGTTCATTAACCGGAAGACAGCACGTTAAAGATGTTATGCTTAATACTATTCCTATCAGTGTCTCGGCAAGAAAAAATGGATTGCATATTAGTTGGGATGACTGAATTAATGTTAATTTTCTCCGGTGTGATAATGGTATTGTGGCTACATAGGAGAGTGTCCTTATTCTTTGAAGATGAATGCTAAAATACTCAAAACGAATGGTCATGAAGTCTGCCCTTTATTTTCAAATGGTTCAGTTTTTAAAAGTGAAGGTCCACAAAGATAAGCAACTAATGCAAAATGTTAACTAGTAAATCTATAGAAAGGGCACAGAGTATTTATTATACTAGTTTCTCAACTTTTCTATAGATTTAAACTTTTTCAAAATAGAATATTTGGGTAGAGTTTGATAAATTGTGATAGAACAACAGAATATCCATATGGGAAATAAACAACCCCTGTTTTATACCATATACGGACAGTAGAAGGATGGTTAAACAAATTGTGGAATGTTCATACAAAACATTACTACTTGGCAGTATAAAAAGGAAAGAATTATCTACTCAACAAAAGAATTTACACACACAAAGAGTACATACTGCATGATCTATTTATATGAAGTTCTAGAGCCACATGGTGAAAAAAATTAGAACAGTGGCTTCCTCTTAGAAGTAGGAGGGCTTTCCTAGGGAATTTTGTGTGGTGATAGAATTGTTCTGTATCTTAACAGAGGTGTGGGTTACATAGGGCTTATGATTTATAAATTTACCTTTTGAAAACTGAGTGGAAGGGTGGGGAGTGGGTATACACGAAACAAGAACAGCAGTGGATGAAACCAGGTGATGAGTACAAGAGGGTTGACCATACTGTTTTAACTTTGCACAAATTTTTTTTAACTTCACATTTTTTCCATAATGAAAAGGAAGGAAACGGGCTAGGGAATTGGCAAAATTTGGGTTTGAATCTTATTTTCACCCATTTTAGCTGCAAGATAACACCAATGAACCTCTATTTTCAATATGTGAAAATGAGAGTGATAATTACATTTCAGGAAGAGTAAGGGTTAGGGCTCCTGTGCTTTGTTGAAGGAGGTGAAGAAAACCACATCAACTAAATCAGCATGTCAGGTACAGGTTCTAGAACAGTGGGAAACTGGTGGATGTCAAAGATGGGGTTAGACTGAGGAAGGCCCTGAATGATAGGAAAGGAGTTGGGGGGCATGGGAGAGAAACATCAATTTGTTCCACTTATTTCTGCATTCATCAGTTGCTTCTTGTATGTGCCCTGACCAGGGATCAAACCTGCAACCTTGGCATATCAGGACAACACTCTAACCAACTGAGCTACCCAGCCAGGGCTTTAACTTTTTTTTTATGATATCAAAGTTACGATTATTGTTAATAGACAACTTAGGAACATACAGTAAGATTGCACTAAGAACAGAAAAAATAAAGTGGACTTTTAAATTTACTGTTATTTTTAGCCTGATGACACAGAGGACTTTGCTGGGAAACACACTGGTTCTTATAAACTAGCACATACTTGGGGCATGAGAAGGGCATGGAACTTGTTGAATGTGTTAAAATGGGTTAGCTGGATAGTTTTATCTTTTAACCCAAATTTGAGTTCATATTTTAAATATTTTCAAGTATAAAGAGAAATAGAGGAATGGTAAAAATGGAATTTATCCTTGCTAAGATTATCAGTCCAAGTCTATAACCACAAGGAGATGATGAAGATAGGCTAATGAAAACCTGTGTTCTTAACTGGGGTGAGAGTAAACATGATCAAGTTTTGAGCAGGTAGGGTTCTGTAGATCAAAACTGGAAGGGAGGATGGCAATATAAATACACAATGGAAAAGGCACACAATACAGTACAATGGTAGGGTTCGGTGGCAAAATAGGAAGAAAAGCATATCAGAAAGACCATGTTAAGAAAGCTAGACTTTGACTTTGCCTAATAAACAGACACACAGATCAATGGAACAGATTAAGAGAGCCCAGAAATAAACCCACAGCTTTATAGTCAATTAACATTCAAAAGAGGAAGAGAACACATACAATGGGCTAAAGATAGTTTATTCAATAAATGGTGTTGGGAAAATTGGGCAGATATGCGCAGAAAAATGAAACTAGACCACCTTCTTATACCACACACAAGAATAAATTCAACCCTGACTGGTGTAGCTCAGTGGATTGAGCACAGGCCTGCTGACCAATGGGTTGCTGGCTCGATTCCCAGTCAGGGCACATGCCTGGGTTACCCTCTCCCCTTCCCTTCCCGTCTCTCTAAAAAATAAATAAAATCTCTTAAAAAAAAAAAAAGAATACATTCAAAATGGATGAAAGACTTAATTGTTAGGCCCAAAACCATAAAAATCCTAGAAGAAAACAGCAGCAAAATCTTGGGCGTTGCTCGTAGAAATTTTTTTACTGGGTATAAAAAAAAATTTTTATTGGATATAAAAAATTTTGTTGCCCTTGCCTTCCCCAGGCAAGGGAAACAAAAGAAAAAGTAAACAAATGGGACTTCATCAAACTAAACAGTTTTTGCATAGCAAAGGGAAATCAACAAAATAAAAAGAAACCCCACAGAATGGGAGAACATGTTCACCAATACATCTGATAAGGGGTTAATATCCAAAATTTATAAAATACTTAAAAAAAAAACCTCAACGCCAAAAAACCCAATTAAAATGGACAAGGGATCTGAACAGACACTTCTCCAAAGAAGACAGGCAGATGGCCAATATGAAAAGATGCTCAACATCTCTAATCATCAGAGAAATGGAAATTAAAATCACATTGAGATACCATCTCACACCTGTCAGAATGGCTATCACTGATTCGTAAAAAAACGTGCTGACAAGGTTGTGGAGAAAGGGTACTTTTGTACTGTTGGTGGGAATGCAGACTGATGCAGCCCCTTTGGAAAGCAGTGTGGAGATACCTCAAAAAATTAAAAATGGACCTGCCTTTTGACCCAGTGATTCCATTTCTGGGAATATATCCAAAGGAACCCAAAAACACTTATTCGAAAGAACATCAGCACCCCTATGTTCATTGCAGTGTTATTTACAATCACCAAGATATGGAAGCAGCCCATCTGTAGATGGTGGATAAAACAACTATGGGACATTTACACAATGGAATACTACTTGTCCCTAAAGAAAATTTTATGGATGGACCTGGGGAACATTATGCTAAGTGAAGTAAGCCAGTCAGAGAAAGACAAATACCATATGATATCACTCACATGTGCAATCTAATGAACAAACTGAAGTAACAAGCAGAACAGAGACAGACTCATAGAGGACAGATGACAGCTAATGGTGGGGGAGGGGTTCATGAGAGGAGAGATTGAGCCAAAAGGGAAAAAAGGACTCATGGACATGGACAACAGTGTGATGACTGCTGAGGGGAGGGTATAAGGGGACTAAATGGTAATGGAAAAAATACAATAAAGATTATGTGTTTTTTAAAAGGCTGATTTAAACCTTTAAAAAAACATAGTCATTCTCAAATGTTAGTTTGAGTCATTTCTTGGGGAAGCTCTTAACCTCCTGTCCCTCCCCAAGTTTAGATCAGGTTCTCTTATATATTCACAGGATCATATTCTGTTGCTTCAGAACATTTTTTTGTTATGGTTTATAATTGTTTAGTATCAGTCTTCTCTAAGTTCTATGAGAGGAGGTCTGGATGGTTTTACTCGACCGTTATCTACCAGATACCAAATACAGTGCCTTGCACAAAGCAGGTGCTCAATATTTAAACAATTTTTACATCAAAGAGGAAATTAAAACTCTCAGACTACTTAGCAGTTAAGGACAATGAGAATTACACTGTTTTGAGGACCACAGGCAAAGCTATTCTCAGGGACAGCTTTAAATCCTTTAAATAAACAAAAATGGAGTCAAGAAATCAGGGGAAAAAGTAATGAAAATCAGTAGAAGTGATCTTTCAAAAGCCCCATAAAATAGACAAATTACTGGTAAGGCTAGGCAAGGGACAAAGAGCCCAAATGCATAATGTTTAGAATGAATAAAGTGGTATAAAAACAGATGAAATCAATTTAAAATATCATAATACTATGTACCACTCTAACCAAGTATATTAGAACATTTAAGTAAAATGGACACTTCTAGAACAATAAAAGGCCAAACATCAATTCAAAAAGAAAATCTGAATAGTATACTAACCATGATAAGTATATAAAAGTTCATCAAGGATGAACTTTTTTTTTCATCCTTGATGAACTTTTATATACTTCTCTATGTTTGGAGGACTAAAATTGCTCAGCGCCCCCCTTGTACGTAAAATTGACCAATGGCGTTTGTACAGCCCATTCCATCAGCTTGAGAGCAGCAGTCTAGTAAATCGAGTAACACAGGAAATGTCAAACATCGAGAAAAAGGTCCAAGATGGGACCCGCCAAGATCGAGGTTAGGCGACTAAGTGGAAGTACAGGACTTAAAATACAGCTTTCTGCCGGTGGAGCCCAATGCGCCTGCGCAGGATAGAGGCCACTCCGCTAACAGCTGAGGGCGGAATCGCTGGCGCCCCGAGTCACGTGGTAGGAGGCGGGGCGCAAGGGACGCTGCCGCGTAGTCTCGGGCTCAATGGGCGGTGGCAGAGCAGTGTACGCCGCTTCTGCTCGCCTAGGACTCTCTGCCGCGCTGGGAGCTGAAACTAGTGGTTGCGCCAGCACGGTAGCGGAGGAGGGGGGAGGACAAGGGCGGCCGGAGGCAGATCGGGCGTCCCTCTCCCAAGCTGAACGGCTTTGGCTCGTGGGGGTCATGGCATCGCTGGCAGACCGAGTGCGGGGCAATGGGCGCATCGCCGCCGGGCTGCTAGTCAACCTGCTGGTGTCCATCTGCATCGTGTTCCTTAACAAATGGATCTATGTGCACCATGGCTTCCCCAACATGAGCCTGACCCTGGTGCACTTTGTGGTCACCTGGCTGGGCTTGTTCCTCTGCCAGAAGCTGAACATCTTTGCCCCCAAAAGTCTGCCGCCTTCCAAGCTCCTCCTCCTGGCTCTCAGCTTCTGTGGCTTCGTGGTGTTCACCAACCTTTCCCTGCAGAACAACACCATAGGCACCTATCAGCTGGCCAAGGCCATGACCACGCCGGTGATCATAGTTATCCAGACCTTCTACTACAAGAAAACCATTTCTGTCAAAATACAGCTCACCCTGGTGAGTAGCTTCAGCTTCACAAGGCGCACCTCCCAGACCCTCTTTTTCACCGGGAAATTTGAATGTTTAACCTTGCTGCATACTCCTTCCCATCATCTTAAAATCCACACTTGTGTCATCTGTAAGCATGTGAACTTAAGGCTCATTTGGGGGATATGGAAAAAAGCCACCCTGGCACTCCATTGGGTTCCTACCCCGAGTGTACTTTAATGGTTTTAATAACTGTTGTTAGATATTCTTTAATGCTGTGATCGGTAAGAAAAGAAAGCTGTATTGGGTGGTGCAATTCAGTGTATCAGATTATCTGCAAAATCTCAAACTGAAAAAAGCACACCTCCCCCAGGGGAACCAGACTGTATGATAAACGTTAAAAGTTTAGAATAAAATATGTTTCAGACTATGTCAGCAGGGACGTTCTGCAGATGTTTCTGTATTTTTAAATATAAGGGTATTAACTAAAATCATTTTAGCATTAATAACTTACAATACTAAAGATACGAATGCTTTTGTTATATGTTTATATGTTGTTTAGCCACTAGTTTTGGAGTTCTTTTACTTCTGTGCCCATGTATGTTGTATTCATTTCTTGAAAAGTGCAATGCATTGATTTATTACCCCCAGATTTTAAATAGAATTAATTCTATTTTAAGTAGAATTAAATGAGAATTAAATAGTTATATTCACTAAATGAACATAATGAGGACTATCATATTTAACTTTGCAGAAACAGGATTAACAGTCAGTGTTTTCAAATAGAAAAGAAGAAAAATTTATAGAGGCTTATTGTTTCCCAGTGATTTTTTAAAATTAACCCTGTAATGGCATACTCTTGAATTTAATCTGAACAACATTTACCTCTTTTTCTTTACAGATTCCTATAACTTTAGGTGTAATCCTAAATTCTTATTACGATGTGAAGTTTAATTTCCTTGGAATGGTGTTTGCTGCTCTTGGTGTTTTAGTTACATCCCTTTATCAAGTGGTTGGTAATTTTTTTCTTTATTTGCCTTTTTATCAGAGTTCATAAATTTTGAAGCTGTATCCCAAGGTTTAGAAAATACAGTATAGAGACAATAAACTGTTAGGAAGAAAGCATACTTGCCTAAATTGGCCGACTCAAGCTGAAGAGAAGAAAGGAGACAGAAACTTCATGCCCAGCAATTGCCTCCCTCCCTGTTTGTAAGTGTATAACACCCATGCTTAACAGTCTGAGTGTGGGGTGGTGTTATATTATTTGGGGGGACGTCTTCACAAAATGAGCAGTGAGACTTTTTACCTGAGAACTGACTTCATTGGTTACGTTTGTTGTTTACTCTTCAATTATAACATTATTGTGAAAGAGTGAGCACACTTTCACAAATTTGAGAGGAAAAGATTTATAAATCTTTGCCTTCAAAAATATTCTGCTTTTACAACTTAAATATTGGCTTTGAACTCTTTGTCTGTATGAATAGTTTATAGCAGTGGGTATTTCACTTCTTGTACTAGCACAGTGCCTTATCCATGTAGCAGGCATTCATCAAAAATCTGTTCATGGATCCACTTCATTACCATAAAATCTGGACAAGTGTATTTTTTGTGTTTTATATAGTTGGGAAAAGTAACTTGGTAGCATGCAGTGAAACAGTATTTTCTCTATACTGAAAACCTTGGACTGAAAATTCTAGGGGTGCCTGCATGGGGAAATTAGAATCAAAATATATAACCAATTTTACTTTTTTTTGCTAACATCCACTGGTTGTAAACTGAGACTTCCTTGTTGAGTGTTAGGAGTTTAATAATACAGCCTTAGCATCTTAAACTTCATAATACTGATCACTTTAGAAACATTGTTATGTGAAAATTCGGAGGTTGAACACCTACTTTAGTGGCAGAGACACAATCTAAAAAAGACACCAGTGGCATGAGAGGATGGAGCACTCACTCTCTCTTGTCACTTGACTCCCAGATACTGACTTTTACTGCAGAGAGTAATCCCAGGAAGCTCAGCTCTGAGCTTCAGGAATTTATATTTGGGTGTACTTCAGTGAGTACACCCAAATTTTGTTACTAGCTACAGTAAATGAACATTCTTTTTTGATAAATGAACTTTTTATTTCCCAGTATGGATTAACTATTTATTAAATATAGCAAGAAATTTTATTTGTTGAACATTAGATTTTCTTGTATTCATTATATATCATTTAAATTCAGAGTACTCACTGTTCATGCCAGTGTGACCATTTTGGTTCACACAAGTCTCAACACTCTTATGGATTAGAATCAAAGGATTCTATATCCCTCAGGTAGATGTTTGAAATGATACTGACCAATGAATGACTGTAGACCAGCAGATTCACAGAGTTCTCCATTATTAGCAAATAGTAAAAGTAATGTTACAAAATAGGTATATTCTACAAAAATTTGTTTTAAAAAAAGTTGTATTTTCCCATTGGATGCAGGTATAATTTCTAAGTTATTTTTGCTGGGGTGTTAAAAGATGAGAGATTAGGTATTAGAGTTAGTTGTAGAAAGAGTGTGGACTCATTCATTCACTCAGCAGACATTTCTTCTGCTTTATGCTCAGGCTTGAGGTTACAAAGATGAAAAGCAGCTACAATCCAGTATTGTAGAAACACATGTAAACAGCTAATCATAAGCAGGATAGCTCAGGGTGTAAGGAAGTTCTGCGGTACACCAGGGAGGAAGTGTCACCCTACCAGAGGGTGGTGAGATACGTCTTCCTGAAAAAGTTAACAATTCAAATTGAAGGACACACATAAATTTGCTTAGCACAGAAATGTAGCAGAGGTCTTTCTTTGCATTGGTGCATGGAGCATCTTTTGAGAACTTGATTTGTTTGGTGAGACTAGAGTGGCATTCTGGAAGGACAAGGCCTTGGGCTGGGTGAGTCAGATGGCAGTCTTAAACGTCCTGCTGAGGGAATGTGCTGTCCATCCTGCAGGCACCAGGAAAAGAGTGTAGACCCTGGTGGCTGTGAGGAGTGAATAGGAAGAAAGGGTAACAGGCAGCACAGTTAGGAAGCTCTCCATGGTCCCAGGGGAAGACAGGAAGGCGCTGACCAAGGACAGTGGTAGTGAAGCAGGTAAGGAAGAACACTCAGGAAACCTTTTGGAGAAAGAATTTGTGGGATTTGACTAAATGTGGGAGTGAGAAAAGTAAGGAGCCTGATCCTTGAAGGAGATTTTATCAATCACTGGAGCAACACAGGAGGAATTAATTTGGGATGGAAGTAATGGGCTTGATTTTGAACAAGTCCCTATAGGTTATCTCAGTAAAGATGGCCAGTAGACTGTTAAAGATGGGAGTTTAAGGATGCTCGAGGAAAGAGGTCAAAGCTATAGGTGTCAGCGGATAGTAAAGAAATCAGTTATGAAGATAAAAAAGGAAGGCCAGATATCTGCCTTAAAAATAGTAAGTGAAGGAAGAGGTGAGTGAGGAAACAGTGCAAACCAGAGGTCAAGTTCTCCCAAGGGAAACTGCAGGCTGTGCAGAAAGCTCCGGCAGGAGGAGGGTGTAGGGAGCCCTTCAGGTGGGACTCCTAGAGGTGGTGGTGCCCTTTGGGGGAGCAGTTTCCTTAGAGGGGTGGTGGGCAGAAGCCAGGCTGCACTGCAGAAAGGGAAAGTGCAGGCCCTGACTCACCACGATTCCAGGTGGTTCTGTGTCGGAGAAACGCAGCGTCCGGGTGAGGCCGCTGAAGGGACAGAAGAGCAGGCATACTGTCTGCGTTCGCCTTGCTCACTGCAGTGCCCCTCGGAGCCAGCAGCAGAAGAATCAATTCTTTGTCCTTCATGTTCACAGAAGACCCTTGGTTAAGGCTGGTAGGAGCATGTGTCAGATTTCCGCTCTTCTGTTTCTGACTAGGTCAATGTCTATAGACTTTTGAAGTACGTGTAACAGGACACCCAGACCTACAGGAAGGAAAATTATGGAGGAGCAGTGATTCAAAGGCCTGGCTGTTCTTGCCACATCTTATGCAAATAGTCCTATTGAGCTTTCTTTAAACAGATTTGTGGAACATTTTGAGGGCTGATGGGATTTGAGGCTTTGAGGTGTTGGTTCTACTAAATGATATAGTTGTTTAGGGTTTGTGATCATCTGATTTGTTGAGGTGTATTGGTGGGAGATTACCCACAGAAAAGTCATCCATAAGGAGGAATATTCCTTTTACCATTGACTGGGATTTTTAAAGTGAATGAGAAGACCTCACATACCTTTCTAGCCACATACATTGGCAGCCACCTGGGATAACCGAGGTTCCTGTCAGTCTCTAACTAGGATGCCCTGCCCCCCACCCAGTCTGTTCTTTCACTTAGAAAGAAGTGAAGTCTCTACACAGCATCTGTGCAATTTCCATTCCTGCCATATTTCCCTGAGATTTCTTATGCTTGTGGGCTCATGTATGCATGGGCTTTCTCCATTTACTAGGACCAGGAGGGAAGAATGGATTTTTTTTTCTCCTTCTTTATAACTCAGAAAACAACACATGATCACACATTGACTTTATAAAACTCCTTTCATCCAAGGTGCTTAAAGAACATTTATACATGTCATTGAAATTTGAAATCTTATAGAATAACTAGACATTTCCTCTTCCCCCAGCCCTGGGCCCCACATTCCCACCTCTGCGGCTAGAGTTGCATCTTTCCTTTAAGAAATAATGCTGTTTGTTTTCTGCCTAACTGGTTTCATCTCCTAATTCTTAGTGGGTAGGAGCCAAACAGCATGAATTGCAAGTGAACTCGATGCAGCTGCTGTACTACCAGGCTCCGATGTCGTCTGCCATGCTGCTGGTCACCGTGCCCTTCTTTGAGCCCCTGTTTGAAGAGGGAGGACTGTTTGGCCCCTGGTCAGTTACTGCTCTGGTGAGTTCTGATTGTTTTAGTGTCAAGAAACAAAGTAATATCAGTCCATTCTTAATGCATTTTTAACTTGCAGAGCACTATCTAGTTTCACATTTAATATTCATAATTAGCCTTTAAGGGAGGCAGGGTAAGGATTACTTTTTTTTTTTAGATGAAGAAGCTGAGACACAGAAAGGTTAGGGTACTCGCCTAAAGTCAGACAGGTAGTCAGTGGCAAACCCAGGCCTGAAATTCAGGTCTGCTGATGCCTGGTTACTGCTCTGGCCATTCCAAGGTATAGCCCACCAAGAATTTGGGCATTTATTTTCATTTTACTTATTTACAGTGAAAATACAGGCTTACATATTTTTGTTTTGTTTTGGGGTTTGTTTATTTCCTTCTTCTAAGGAAATAAACAATGGGACTTCTTAAAGAAGTCCCATTAACATTTCTTGTAACACTGGTTTGATGGTAATGAACTCTTTTCGCTTTTTCTCTTCTGGGAAGCTCTTTATTTCTCCAGTTTTAAATGAGAGCCTTGGGATAGAGTAGTCTTGGTTGTAGCTCCTTGCTTTTCATCACTTTGAATGTTGGGTGCCAGTCCCTTCTGGTCTGTAGTGTTTCTGTGGAAAAATCAGCCGACAGTCTTACAGTAGCTCCTTTTTGTAGGTAACTGTCTCTCTTGTGCTTGATTTTGTTTTAATAATATAAATAATACATGGTCATTGTATAGATTTTGAACATACATAAAAATATAAAGAAAGTGAAGGCCTCCCAGAATCCTGCCAAACTAAGATAACCACCTTTATCATTTTTGTGATTATTTCGTGGATCTCTTTTTCAGATATGTAGATCCATGCATGCATGTGTGTTTGTATGTATGTATAATTTTCTTTGCGTGGAGCATTATTATATGTGCCATTTTTATGACGGATTCCTTTTCCCCAGCCCTCCTACCCACACTCATTTCCACATCTCATTACCCCTTCCCTGCCCTTTAAAGCCAGTCATGTCAGCATTTTAGTGTTTGTTCTTCCATATTTTCTCCATGGTGCACATGCCCATATACCAACATAGGCAGCACACACATGAATATAGACATAGGTAAACATTTCTGTTTCTGTTAAAAAGATGGGATCATATCACATGGTTTTCTGTATCTGGCTTTTTTCACTTAATATCTCATGAAAGTCTTTTTATGTCGTTCTTTTCAATGCCTGTATATATAAATAATTCTAGTTCTAATTCTTAACCACTGTGACCAGTGTTGCAATAAGCATCCTGTGTGTCCTCATGAACTGGTACTTTTTTCTGTGAAGCAGAATCCTGAGAGTGGAGTTTGTAGATCAGAGGGGTATGTACTTCGGGGACATTGTAAGATATGAAGTATAATCCCCAATGTAGGGAAGAAATGTCTGCTTCCCATAACTGTAGGCTTTGGAACACAGTCCATAGTGATGTCTTTTCTGTTGGTGGTGTTAACTTAAACTTACATAGCTCTTGGTCTGTTCTTGGCACTGTTCTAAGCACTTTGCAAGTATTAACTTACTTAATCCTGATAACAGCTTCATTGTATGGATACATACTGTTCTTCTCCCTGTATTTACTGATGAGGAAAGGGAGAGTTAAGTAACTGAGTGAACATCCCACGGCGAGCAAACAGAGCTGGCGTTGGAACCCATGCATTCTGGCCGCGAAGTCCATATTCTTAAACACCCCACTGTGCTGCCTGTGAGCAGGTCGATAGCTGTGTCAAATTCACATGCTTTCACATAAACCCTTTTTTCCAAAGTAGAAATCATTAGGCCAACAGTTAGATGAGATATTTCCTCTAATTTTACAAAAGTTCTAGTTATCTTGGTGGTCTGGTCTTCCAACCATTGCAGCTTAGGTGCCTTAAATTGGAAAGGGAGAAGTTTTTTGTGATAGGACCCCTGACAGATTTGGAAAAGGTGAGCAGCAGAAAGGTCATAAAAGAAATCAAAGAAACCTAGTGCCCAGCTGTCTGAGGCCATTTAAATAAGGGAAGGTCCCTTTAATTTCCCTAGGGGGCATCATTGTCCCAAAGGAGAGTTCGTAATTGTATTGTTAACGCTAAGTCATCAGCAAATTGGTATGTAACATTCTATGAACTCAATAAAATTAATAATATATTTCTAGAAACAATTTAATTTTTTTTTAATTTTTCTTTTTATTTTTTATTTATTTTAGAGAGAGGAAGGGAGGGAGACATAGAGGGAGAGAAACATCAGTTGCCTCTTGTACACACCCCAGCCAGGAAGTGAACCCACAGCCCAGGCATGTGCCCTGACCGGGAATAGAACCAGGGACCTTTCACTTTGCAAGATGATGCCCAACCAACTGAGCCACACTGGCCAGGCCTAGAAACAGTTTTTTAAAATCTTTAAAGAGCAAGTTGCTTTTCGTTGAACAGTTAATGGGCCTGACTTTTATAAAACAAATGACATATTACTATTTTCACCTAAATAGGGCACAACTCCAGCTTCTAACTGCACTGATCTAAAAACCGATAAAACTCACATGGGACAGGAAGAATCTTGAAATGTGACTTATCAATCTCTTTGGAATTTAAACTTATTACTAATTGCTGTTATAGCGAATATTTTATCTTAACTCTCACTTCAGAAGTAGAAACTGACATTGTAACTTTTGAAACAATATTGTGAGGTGGGTTTGTAGAGAATGTTACGTGTGTACACAGTGGTACAGCCCACTTTGTCACCCTGTCCTCGGCCAAGTTGTCTTATTCACTGCCCCGAGTGCCCACCCTGTGTTCTCATGCCTCCCTGCCTTGGCCCGAAGTTCCCTCTGCTTGGAATCCTACCCCCTTTTTTTCCCATAATGTTTACATTTGAAATCCAAAGACTTTTCTCACTATCCCAGCCCAAAATGACGTGTCCTGCCTAGAGATTCACAGAGAACTTATTGTTTGTTTGCCTGTAAGTGAAGGAGCTCATTTCCCTTCATTGCCTGAGCCAGAAATCTTGCATTGCACCCTCACTTGCATGTGTGAAGAGGTAGCGTAAGGGAGCGGGTTAGGAGCGGGGACTCCAGAAGCACACCACTCGGTTTTAATCTCCACCCTGCCACTTCCTGGCTGTGTGATCTTGGGCAAGTCACTCTCCTTCACTGTGCTCTGTTTTCTCTTCTATAAAATGGGATAGTATTTACTACCTCATGGTATTTGTGAGGATTGAATAAATTAACATATGGGAAGCTTTTAGAACAATCCTTGGCACATAATAAGTACCATGTAAGTGCCAGCTGTGATTATCACGGCTTTGATTATGTCTGTAAGTGGTATCTGAGCTCTTCGAGGACAAGAACATGTCGTGTTCCTCACATGGCATGGCCAACCTGTGTACATGACTACGCATTGATTCAGTTTAAGTGAGAACAAATATGGACAATTCAATAGAAAAAAGATCTTGAAGGATCCATGCTAAGGTATTAATAGTGGTGGGTGGTTGAGATATATTCTGTTTGCTTATCTTTATTTTCTGATTTTTCTATAATGAACATGTATTATATTTAAAAAGTAATTTTTCTTCAGATAAATAAAAGCAAAACTGGAAATGCACATTCAGAGGCAGGATATTATTGGGGAATTTTTCTTTGAGTTTTGTAGACAAAATTACATTTCAGAATATTTTTTACTCTCAATTTTTGTTGTCTTTCAAGTTGATTCTTTTTAAAATCTTGTTCCTAATGGTTGATACTCGAGTCTTTAGAAATACCTAATGAAATGTGTTTGTACTTGATGATTATACTGATTGGAGCTGTGTTAATGATTCTTTTGTCCACTCCTAGTTCATGGTGCTGCTGTCTGGAGTCACAGCGTTCATGGTGAACTTGTCAATCTACTGGATCATTGGGAACACTTCACCAGTCACGTATCCTTTTCCTGATGGCTCACAAATGCATGGTCTTTCATATTTTCTAAAAGTCCATCACATCAATTCCTTGAGTCTCACAATTACTATCACATGGCCTAAATTAAGTAGAGTAGCTATTTTTAATCTTTAACATCTCATTCCACACTAGAGTCTGTAGAAATTTAAAGAAATATGAACTGGGAAATGAATTAGCTTTTCATATCATGATCATTTTTGAATTTTTTAAAGTCATAGATGGTCATTTTCCTTATCAGAATTAATATGAGAACCATTCCTTGCACATAGTGGGGTTCGATAAGTATTTGTGGAGTGAATAATGAGATGGGCGCTCGGGTTGTCTATCAGTTCTCAGTTATCCGTGTTAATAGAGGTGTGGTTATCCACGTAGCAGAAGATAGTCGGACCTCTGAAACTGACCTACGTGACTTCTGAACTTTAGGATGTTTTTGCACTTATGTGGATATGGGTGTGCCTGTTTTTCTCGGTATTATGTCACAAAATGAAGTCATACTTTGAAGGCCTGAACCAAACTCAAGTGCCTTCTTAATATTCTGCTCGTCATTCTGTTTCTGTTCTCGTTTCACTTTGCTGCACTCTTGGGCAGATGCAGAGGATGGATTTCTGTAAGTCAGAGAGGTAGTTCAGCAGTGGTGTGTCGTAGGGTTCTGATTCACGTAAATGAGTGAACACTGATGTCGTCAAAGTAAAAATGCAGCATATTTGACAACTATCAACAAATAACAACAATGATAATAATGTTTTTAAAGAATAACACTTAGTATTTATTTTGTGCCAGGCACTTTTTGAATCACCTCGTGTATATTAGGCATTTAATTCCCATAGCAGCTCTGCAAGGTAAACTTTGTTATTTTACTTTGCAGAGGAGGAAATGGAGGTGCAGAGACTTTGCATAACTCAAGGTTGTGCACCTGAGCGGGGTTGTATCCAGATTTCGAATCATGCAGTCTGATCCCAAAACTTCTGTACCATGCCGCCAAGTCAGGGCATCCGAGTGTGTGCCCTTGCTAACATTGATCCATTCAGCAGGCATTGAACACCCAATATAAACTGTTCACTGGCTTAGTATTTACATATTGCATATCTGCTATATGTCAGACACTGGAGATATAGTGAAATAGACAAAAATCTTTGCTCTCACAGGCTTAGACTATAAACAAAAAAATAGGTAATATACATATTAGTGTTACATAGTGTTAATTGCCAAAGAGAAGAAAATAAAGCAGAGAAGAGGATATGAAATGTTGAGGAAAGAGTTTAAATTTTAGGGAGAGAAGGCAGGAAGGCCTCTCTCTAAGAAGAGGACTTCTGAGTAAAGATCCGAAGAAAAAGAGGTCACTCCCTGGGGATCGGGACGGACAGCATTCCGGGCGAGGGAAGGGTGGGTGAGAGGCCCCAGGGAACAGCAGGGAACCAGAGTGGTTGGGGTGACGCGGAGGGTGGAGTGCGGTGGGCTCTGGGCAGCGACAGGGAGCCAGGTGGAGCAGAGCCCTTACCTAAGGATGATGACTCTGAGTGAGCACGAAAACCATTGGAGTTTTGAGCAGAGAAATAGTGTGATTTTACTTATATCCTAATAAGGTCACTCTGGTCTGCTGTGTTAAAAGCTTTCCCAAATCCATGCAATTGACCTTTTTGGCCAGATGATTCTTTGTTGCAGGAGCCTGTCCTGTACCTTGTAGGATGTTCAGCGTAGCCCTGGCCTCCACCCACTAGATCCAGGAGCTCTCGCTTCCCCCAGTCATGTGAACCAACAATATGTCTAGATCTTGCCCAGGTGGCACAGTAAGCCCTGTTTGAGAACCACTGGATTAAATGAGGCAAGGCAGGAAGGGAAACTGTCAAGAGGCCACTGTACTGTTCTAATTTAGAAATAATGGTGATTTGGAACCAGGATGGTAGCAGCAGACATAGTGAGAAGGGATTGGATTCTGGATATATTTTCAAGTAGAGACAACAGATTTTGCTGACAAATTGGATGTGGAGAATACGAGAGGAAATAAAGGCGACTCGGATGGTTTTTGCCTGAGCACCTGGTAGAATGTAGTTGCCATCGGTGGGGGTGGGACAGCCCTGAGGCTGAGGTTTGGGGGTGGGGAGGAAGAGCACGTGTTCAGTTTTGGGCGACAAGTCCAAGAGCTCAGAGCCTCAGCTGGGGGTGGTCCCGAGAGAATCAGTGGTGTGTAGGTGTTTAAAGCAGTGAGACTGGTTGAAATAGCTAAGCAAACAAGTAGAAGAAAAGAGGCCCAGAGATTGAGTACTGGATCATTCAGTGTTCGGAGATCCAAGAGGTGAGAGGAGCCAGGCAGCAGAGGCAGGAAAGCAGCAATAGGGCAAAAAGGAAGGAGAGTGGTGTGGCAGCCGAGGGCAGGGGAATTCACTGCTGGGCCAGGTGCGGGAAGACATAGATGAAGGGGTTTCACAGGGTGGGGGTGCTGGTGGTTTCAACAGGTGCTTTCAGAGTGTTGAAGTGAAAGTTTAACTGGAACAGAGTGGAAATTTAGAGAGAATTGTACATAGCAAATAGAGACCTCTCCTTTTCTCAATTGACAAAAGATTCACTCTAGAATTTCTTTACATGTGCCTTCCCTCTGGTATAAATATCTTTAACACATCATAAGTTACTTAAAAGAGGCTGAGGAGTAAAGAAATGCCGAAGTGTTAGAGCCAGTGCACTCAAAAATAGCTCACAATTGAAAATAAAGCACTTGTGATTATGGTTCTAATGAACATCCTTGGGAAGATCCTCTGTCTCTCAGGAATCACCTGTCAGGTCAGGCAAGCTCAGGGACCCCGTTACAGGGCCCACACTTTCCTGCCCAGAAGGCCCTTCCCAGGCTGCGCCATGGGCCCGGCCTCAGAACGGAGGAAAGAGCCTAGGCTTTGCAATCAAGCAGATTCAGGTGCACGGGCCCCGCTCTGCCCTGACCCTCATCAGTTACGAACTGGGGGAAATAGTACCTACGATGTTGGTTGTTATGAGTGTTTGAGGGAGTATGAGTCAAGCACCTGGCAGATGTTTATTAGGCATAAGTACTGCTATTGATAACTGTTATTAAAGCTGGTACACCTGGTGCTTAGTGCGTGGCATGTCATTGGTGCACACTGTTACTTTCTTCCCCTTCCCCTCTTCCCTCCTAAACCTAAGCATGCTGGGTGTGCTTACCTTGAGTCAGCTCTCTGGTGCCTTGCACATCTCACCTCACTTCCAAGAGTAGTTGTTATTAGAAATGGCTCTCTAAAACAGAACCATAAATTGCTGTACAAAATATCTTCCCTGTACATCACTCTGAACTCCTTTCCCTACCGTATATTGTAGCCCCTTTCTTCTTCTTTGGAGAGGCCAGTAGGGAGACTTGAAGCAGTCTCCTGTCACTTACTACTTGCTAAAACCTGCCTGTAGAAAGTAGGATTGACCCAGTGCTTCACTGAGGTTCTTGTTCTTCACGTTGGGGGAGGAGGCCCTGCCGTTCAGTCAGTGTGTCCTGCAGTTCTTTCCAGCCCCCAGGAGCCATTGCTCTGTGTGTGTGTGTGTGTGTGTGTATGCGCGCGTGCACGTGTGAGTATGAATATAACATCTGACTTGTTATTCCTTTTTATCCTTATCCGAAACCTCAGCTACAACATGTTTGGACACTTCAAGTTCTGCATTACTCTGCTCGGCGGCTATGTTTTATTTAAGGATCCACTGTCAGTTAACCAGGGCCTCGGCATGTTGTGTACATTGTTCGGCATTCTCGCCTATACCCATTTTAAACTCAGCGAACAGGAAGGAAGTAAGAGTAAACTGGTACAACGACCTTAATTGGGCTTTTTGTGGAGAAAAGAAAGTTACCCCAAGAAGATTACGAAATGTGAAATGTGCGAATGGCTTTCAAAGACGGGGAAAAAAATTACATTGCAACATTCATTGAATGATGGTTTATAAGAAGTGACACAAAGGAAATTTTATTTATAAATAATGACTTTTTAATTTAGTGTACTTTTTTTCAGAAACTTAATTCATGCTGCTTTTCAAAGATGATGATGGTATGAATTATATAGGATGGTTTATACCAAATGAAGTACATGAAATTAAAGTTCCCTAGTAGTGACAAAGGACTTCCTGTCACTGAACTACAAATGTGTCAAGGTTTTAAGTGTTCAGACTATTCCAAAAAAGGATGCAGAAGACTCCTCTACCTCCTGGTAGGTGGTCCCCAGGGTGAACTCTATCATAATTTCAGCCAGTGTTCAAATCAGAATTTAAATCTAGCATTTCCATCTTAGTTGGTTTAGTAAAACTTCCTGCTTATTTCATTTATAGAAAGTGAAATATAATTTATAGAAAACATAGTACAAAAGACCATAAAACAAAATCCAATTCCAAAAGTAACATTCTCCTAATAGAAAATTGACGTCAGAGATTATGCAGCCCTGACTGGTGTGGTTCAGTGGGCTGGGTGACTGGGACATCCCACAAACTGAAAGGTTGCAGGTTTGATTCCCATTCAGGGCACATGCCAGTTGGGGGCGTGCGAGAGGCACGATCAGTGTTTCTCTCCCTTTTTCCCTCCTTTCCCCTCTCTCCAAAAATAAAGAAAAAAAATCTTCTAAATGTTTCTTTAAAAAAGAAGTTATATGTTATCCAAAAAAACCTAGGTTTTTAAGTTATATGTTATCCAAAAAAACCTAGGTTTTTAAGGGGGCCTTCAGTGAATTCTAGAAACTACATTTAGTTAAAAAACAAAGTAACTCCCCATTCAAATGGCCCAAAGGAAAGACTATAGATGAAATAAGGTTTCTTATTATCTTGGTAACTGTTCTCCTGGCCTCTTTGAGCCCATGCTGGTAATTTCTAACCCCCCCCCCACTCTGCTCTTACTCCCACCGCCCACTGCTGCCCCAGTTGAGGCGTCCGTGGAGCTTTCTCTGGCACCGAGGACTCGGAGGGAACTGTGTCTGGCTGCCCAGGGGGCTGAGGAAAATTCTTACACAATAAGTCAGGGCAAATGCTCTCCAAACACTGAGCAGAAACTTGGTGAAAATGTTAGGAAAGATTTGAAAGAGGAGTAGAAAAATGGCTAATAATTAACTACTTCTATAAATTTTTTAAGGAATTTTTTAAAATTAGGGTATAGGGGAAATACATGAGTCCCACCTAAAGAAATAAATAGTACCACATATTTAATTGCAAAATTTATTTCTGTCTTCCAGCTTCTTGACATTAGAGCTTCAAAAGCAGTTGTTGATAACCTCTCATAATATTAGATGAACCCTCTTGTAATAAATAATTCTTTTTCTAAATATTATTTTTAAACTTTAAATGAGAAAACAACTCTTAAGAGGATGAAGAGCCATGTGTATTTTGTAGGATTTTTTTTCCTGACCCATTTGAAAGGAAAGCCTCAAAGAAAATCTATTTTGACAGTATTTTGTATCAGTCATTCTGTTGTATGATTAGTATGTGTGGTTTTCTATTTGGGTTTTAAATATTCTTTGTTTCTTCTCAGTTTCTGAAAATATATTTTGTGCTAAGAATAAGAAGTATAAGATGATTTGTCTTACAGATGGGCCTCAGGCATTGTTTGTGTACCACATTCTCTGTGTGTATGTGTCTAAATGAACATGTGATTATTTTCCAAACGCTGGAGAAAAGTATTGCGACGCAGTGAGAATTATGTGACTTCTGTGCACCAACAGCTGAGGTCATTCGTGCCATGTACAGATGCTCATTAACTGTAAATACCACTTGGGGGGCGGGTTCGAATAAATGACTATGTCAATAGGAACGCAGTGAGAAAGTTGGAGGAAGATAGGGTGGGATATGGATGTATATATACATATACATTCATATCTATTAATGAAAGAAATATGTACTGCTGGAACTGGAGGCTGATAAACATATTTGGCCCTGAAGACAGCTTCCCAGGGAAAAGGAAGTTCCTGGAGGAAAATGTGCCAGGTGACCAGGACCTGCCATAGTGACAGCATGGTGCCGGGGAGGAACTGCACTTGCTGTGGGTGTCGCCACCCTCGTTTTTCACCCTGTGTTAAATGACTGAGCTTCTGTTTCCACCTGGTACAAATAAAGAGACCCTGATGTTTTTACTTCTGTGCTGTGTTGGGACCAGTGGAAGAACAATAGCATCTCTGTGGTCGCGCAGCGGGAACGCTGGCCTGTCCAGCTCCTAAATATGTGGAATCCAGTGAAACAAAATCCTCGTTTTCTTTTTAAAATATCAGAAAAAAGAAATCTCTCCCTGAAATGAACCAAGCTTTCTTCTGTTTCATTTTCTAAAATACTCTCCTAACGTGGCTGTATTTAAGTCATTAGTCACCTTTGTGGAAAATGTAAGAGCAGCAGCGTTAATCCAGTGCGTCACATGGACCCCAGTGGTCAGTAGTGGGGGGAACGAGTGTGTAGGATGGCCACACTCGAAAGTCTGATGCAGAGCGTGGAGGTCAGGTGTGTTGGACACAGCCTGTTCCGCATCTCTGTTTCCAGACTTGAACTGGATTATGCTTGCTAACATTAGAAATACAATAATTTCACTCAGCAGCAGAGGCTTATTTAATGTGTGTTATATGTCAGGTGCTGTGCTAGGCACAGTGCAAAGACAGTCCTGTGTTTCCAAGAGACATCTGTCTAGCAGAAAAGATAGACGTTAATGAAATAAAAGCAAAGTAAGTTTATTATGCTAAAAGGGACATGGTTGCCTGGGAACCAAAGGGTCACCAGTTCCATTCTCAGGGCACGTGCTTGGGTTGCGGGCCAGGTACGGGTGTGCAAGAGGCAAGCCCATTGATGTTTCTCTCCCTCTTTTTCTCCTTCCCCTCTCTATAAAAATAAATAAAATAAAAGGAACGTGATTATCTGGAGCATATAACCAAACACTCTGGCCCACTCTGGCTGTCAGTGAAGGTGTCCATGAGGGAAGGATGGCTGAGCTGAAATCTGATGAAAGCATGGAAGTGAGCTAAGCCAAGGGAGGTGATTGCATTTCTGGTAAAATGGAGTAGCATAGGCAGAGGCCCATTGGTTGGAGGAATTACGAGTGTAAATAACTGCAAAAAGGATGGAGTGTAGGGGAGGGGGAGATAGTTTATGGCACGAGCCAGGAAAGGCAGGCTGGCCTGGGACCATAGACCATCCTGTCAGCTATGTTAGAAATCTAGGAACAGCAAGAGGGTGTGTGGTGAGCAATGTCACAGTCAACCCCAGTGTTTTGAAACAAATGGAGGAGAACCAGATAGATGCCAGGAGACTATAATGAGATGTGATTACTTGGAAGGCTGGTGGTGTGACAGGAGAGGCAGTACGTTGAAGAGAATTTAGTAGATGGACTCCACCAGACTTGAGAGAGACTGGAAATGAAGGGCACAGGAGACAGTGAAGTTGGTGATCACATATCTGGTTTGCACAGCATGATGGAGAATGATGCCATTCTCTCAGGAAACACAAGGGAGAAGGAAGATGAGCTTATATGTAGCCATCTTGATTTGAGGCATCCAGTTAAAGGCATTAACCAAATAACCATACAGGTGTAGGCATTAGGAAATTTTTGACTTAGAGTGGAGATAAAACTTGGGGAGTTACTGGAATATACTCAATAAGGGTGGAAACAGACCAGGATGAGCTTGGTATAAAGCAAAAAGGCGTTCTATTGTACAACTGAACCTGGAGGAGCTCCAGCATATACCGGTAGAGGAAGATAATTCTGCAAAAGGGTAGGAGAAAGATGAGGATGACGATATTGGAAGCAAGAGTAGACAAATGTGATAATATTACTGGGAGATCAAGGTAGACACGGACAGAAGAGTAGCCATTGTATTGACAGTTTATCGTTGACCTTAGTATGGCAAGAAGCACATTGGAGTGGGCTGAGTTGTCTGCATGTGAGAGGTGGGCCATGGCATCCAAGAGTATAGATGCTTCTTTTGCTAATGCAGCCTGCAGTGTTACAAGCAATATTCATTCTTGCTTGACATGAACTGGCTGCTTTTTTGTGAGTCTAAGACTTCTATTGTAATGGTTATTTATTATTACAGAATTAAGATTGTAGAGTACCAAACATCCTGTGTATGCCTAGAAACAGGGCAGCTGCTTCTGAAATGGATAATATTTTGCTCTGAAAAGAACTTTTATTTTTGGCTCCTGAGCTCCCGAATGTATTCTTGTCATGTAGGTTGCTATTAATATAATCAACAGTTACTTTTGCCAACTGCAGGTACTTTGGAAAAACAATTTTGCAAGCCCACTAGGGGCTGATCCAGTCATGCATTTACTTGTTTTTGGTACTGTTAAGGTTAAAAAGAAAAAGAAATTTGCCAAGAAAAAGGCCAGTGTCAGTCTGGGAACTAGTGCGGTGCAGGGTACAGGGCCATCCCGGACATGAGAACTGTGGCTTCCAGCCCAGAGGCTGCCATTTACTAGGACGGCCTTAGCATTAGGCGAGTCACTGCACTTTTATCTCAGTTCCATCTATGAAATGGAAGCGTGGATCCCAATGATGTCCAAGGGCTCTCTATAAAACCCCTAATTCTGATTTCTCAGACTAAACTCGTGATTTCTCATTTGTTTACCTTGAGAGCAGATTTAAGTAAATACATGAGAAAGAGTTTATTTGGCCCTCATAAGAATTGTTTTTTTCTTTAGGAGCATTTCTTTACTTATAGATTCTGTTTTCATGTGCATTTCTTTACTTATGGGTTCTGTTTTTAGAAAGTACTAGATTGGCTAAGAAGTCCGTTTAGTTTTTTCCATAAAATAAAAGGCACATTTTTCATTTTCACCAATAACTTGATTGATTTGGATATTTTGAGTATGTTGGCTGTCTCCCACTATTGGCTTCCAGCGGATAGAGGTCAGGGGTGCTGCTAAACATCTTCCAATGCATAAGATGGCCCCACAGCAAAGACTTATTTGGCCAACATGTCAGTAGTACCAAGAAACTTCACAAACCACTTTTGACACATTTGATCAGTCATAGCACCTTCTCCATACACTGCACAAATTTTTTTTTGCATTTTTACCTTTTTTGAAATAAAGCATAATATGCCAAAAATGTTATATATTTTTTTTCATCTAAAGTATTAAAATGGCTGCACAAAATTTCACCAATTTTGCCCTGGCTGGTGTGTCTTAGTGGATTGAACACCGATCTGCAAACCAAAGGGTCACTGGTTCAGTTCCCAGTCGGGGCATATGCCTGGGTTGCTGGCCAGGTCCCCAAGTGGGGGGTCTGCAAGAAGCAACTACACATTGATGTTTCTTTCCCTCTCTTCTTCCTTCCCTTTCCCTCTCTCTAAAAGTAAATAAAAAATCTTTTAAAAAAAATGTACCAGTTTTGGTAAGGTTTTTTGTAAATGCATGCTGATATGACAGCTGTCACAATACAATCTAACAAAATTGTTTCTAATGAAGTTAAAAACAACTAAGTGCTACTAGAGCTGTCTTATGGAAAAAAACTAAATGAACCTTTTGACCAACCAACCCAAAATGTGCAAAACATGAAATGTGGCTTATTTTCATGTTTGTTATATTAGAGGATATGATTTGATTCATTTGGCTTATCAAAGAAAGCTGCTTTGTACATTGTATGAAATTGGCAGGTGAATTATTGTTAATTCAACTATTTGTTTATACTTTTTGCTCTGCTGTTTTTAATTTGGAAAATAGCACATCACCCAACCCATAGTAACTCACACTTTTCTGTTTAACCAAAAACGTCTCATACACACCACGTGTGCCATGGGAACAGGCCTGCACGCTTATTTAACCGGCCAGGGCTGTGCATTTTTTTAAGGACTATTTTTTTTTAATAATGTGTTTTATTGATTATGCCATTACAGTTGTCCCCTTCCCCCCTCCCTGTATACCCCCTCCTGCCCACATTTGCCCCTTTAGTTCATGTCCATGTGTCATAACTTCTTTAGCTTCTACATTTCCCACACTATTCTTGCCCTCCCCCTGTCTATTTTCTCCCCACCATCTATGCTACTTATTCTCTGTACCTTCTCCCCCCTTCTCCTCCTCCCACTCCCCTGTTGCTAACCCTCCATGTGATCTCCATTTCTGTGGTTCTGTTCCTGTTTTAGGTGTCCACTTAGTTTGCTTTTGTTTTAGGTGTGATTGTTAATAATTGTGAGTTTGCAGTCCTTTCACTGTTCATGTTTTTTTAACTTCTTTTTCTTAGATAAGTCCCTTTAACATTTCATATAATAAGGCCTTGGTGATGATGAACTCCTTGAATTTTATCTTATCTGAGAAGCACTTTATCTGTCCTTCCATTCTAAATGAAAACTTTGCTGGATAGAACAATCTTGGTTGTAGGTCTTTGGTTTTCATGACTTGGAATACTTCTTTCCAGCCCCTTCTTGCCTGTAAGGTGTCTTTTGAGAAATCAGCTGACAGTCTGATGGGGACTCCTTTGTAGGTGACTGTTCCCTTATCTCTTGCTGCTTCTAGAATTCTCTCCTTCATTTTTATCTTGGCTAATGTAATTATGATGTGCCTTGGTGTGTTCCTTCTTGGGTCCAACTTCTTTGGAACTCTCTGAGCTTCCTGGATTTCCTGGAAGTCTATTTCCTTTGCCAGATGGGGAAGTTCTCCTTTATTATTTGTTCAGATAAGTTATTCACTTATTGCTCTTCCTCTTCCCCTTCTGATACTCCTATAATTCAGATGTTGGGGCATTTAAAGATGTCCTGGAGGTTCCTAAGCCTCTCCTCATTTTTCCGAATTTTTGTTTCTTCATTCTTTTCTATTTGGTTGTTTCTTTCTTCTTTCTGGTCCACTTGATTGATTTTAGTTCCAGTTTTGTTTCCATCCCTATTGGTTTCCTGTGCATTTTCCTTCATTTCACTTAGTGTAGCCTTCATATTTTCATCTAATTTGTGACTAAAATTAACCAGTTCTGTGAGCATCCTGATCACCAGTGCTTTGAACTGTACATCTGATAGGTTGGCTGTCTCTTGGTCGCTTAAAAGTATTAGCTCTGGAGCTTTGATCTGTTCTTCCGTTTAAGCCATTATTTTTTCATCAGGTCATGCTTGTTATAGATGAGGGGCGGAGCCTTAGGTGTTCACCAGGGTGGGGCAACCCAGTGTCTGGGTTGTGACACTGTCTGTGGGGTGGAGTCAGAGAGAACAATGGGGCCCTTCTGGTGCTGGTTCCTGGGTGTATGGGCTTGTATACGTTCTAGGACCCTGTGAGTCTGTCCAGCAAATTCTCCTATGAGGCTGGGAGTCTCTCCTGGCACCTTTTCAGTCAGTGCTTTTAGGCTTTATTTCCCGGCACTGGAGCCCTGAGTTGCACAATCTGACTCGCTGCCTGTTTTTGCCTAGTTTATCTGAGCGCAATTGTGTGACCACGGTCAGCCCCGGGCCACCTGCACTCCTGGGTCTGGCAGCCACCACCCTTTCCTGCTGCAACCGCTCTCTCTGGGCCACCGACACCACCCCTCTTACTGGTCTGGATAAATGGTTCGTTGTTGTCAGACTTTGGTACAGTTCAATTTTCTGTCTGTTCTGGTTGTGTTTTTGTTTCTAAATCGTTGTTGTCTTTAATTTTGGTTGTGTGAGGAGGCACAGTGTTTCCACCTACACCTCCATCTTGGCTGGAAGTCTGAAGACTGTATTTTTTAAGAGTAGTTTTAGGTTCATAGGCAATTCTAAATTTTGAAATTTTTTTGTTAACCACAAGAGATTATTTTTTTCTTTAAAAAATCAAATGATCTGTATCAACCAAATGTCATTGTTTTCCTTTTCCTGCTTGTTCTTATACTTCCAAAAATGTCAGTTTCCTGTTTTTTCAATTCCCCTTTTTTTAAAATTACAACTGGCCTTTTAGTGCAGAAGAGTGAT